CCCCCAAAACCCCAAAACCCCAAAACCCCACTTCAAATTAATTAATTTAAGTCGTAAACCCCATAAAATTTTAAAATTTTCAAAAATGTTTCAAAAATCAACTGCAAAATCAAAGGGCTTGCTTAAAAATAGTTGAATAACAGAAGGTAATTTCCTAAAGCTTAATACTCTCTTTGAAGACTTCATGCTTGTGTATTAAAAACGAATATGGACTAAATTTGATCCCAATTGTTTCTAGCTAAGCCAGTTCAATTTAAACCTCAAGAGCCCTCTCAAAATCAAACTTCAAAAACCTTGAACCCTGATTCTTGCCCATCAACCTCTCGTAGATTCAAAAGAAAGTACTGAAAGGCTTATAAATTATCTCGAATTGACCAGACAGAGAATGAATCCTGAAACATCCATTTAAACCGGAAGGGAATGGGTAAAAGAGTCATGTCTCAGCAAGCCTTGAAGCCTAAAATTACATTAAAATCGAAACCTCGGAAAAAGAAATGCACAAAAGATGCCCATACCAAGAGCCACAAGCAAAAGAGGATTCTTAAGTCTCATAGAAGCCACAGTAAGGAATTTCTAACACAATTTCAATAGAAACTGAAAGGAATAAGCTACATTCCAGACCAACTATGATCATCAATGCTAAATCTAGAAGCAGTCTTTCTAGACCTGATAGCCCAAATTTTTGCAAACCCAAGGAATTTAGAAACAACCCTTTAGAAAGTCAGAATGTGTGTGATACTACTGAAGATACTTACCAAAACAACGCTGGTAGGTCATCGACTTGTTCGATGCCTCTGACAGAGACTTCCAAGAAGATCTTAAGTCCGAAAGAACCTCGCCACAGTATGGATTTACCCTTACAGAAAAATACCCCAGCACTGAATTGAAAAGAAGTCTCTCCGATTTTAGAAGACTCTAAGGGAGAAGATACCATAGTTGATGAGATAGAGGCATTTCCTTCATCATGTGCCAACAAATTTACAGGTATCAAGCTATGTCAGAGAAGAGGTAATGATATACATTTTAAGGAAATAGAATCTAATCTTAATCATGAGCGGTCCACTGGTCCCAAAAGATCTCATACAGAGTCTATAAAACCGTACAAAAAGTCTGAATTTGTTGGAAAACTTGCCAATAAGCTTGCTAAATAAACTTATCAGCTCTGTAAAATTAGAATTTCAAAAGGAAAAATGCAAAACTCTTAGCTCAATCCAAAAGATGAAGATCAAAACTAATGCAAGCCAGGATTCTCAAAGAGGGTTGAAGTTAGTCACTAAAGAACAGATGCTATTCAAAAGAGTTGCCAAAGAAGGGGATCTTAAGAAACTTCCCAATCTGAGGAAAAGCAAGAAAGCTAAGGTAAATTCAAAGACTTAGAGTTTAGTCAAAAAAGAGCTCCCCCAAAATTACAAAAACTATGTTTAAGTCCAAGCCAAATTTGAATAAGGAGAATAGACTTAAGCAAATAGGACTTGAATTCATGAAATTCATTCCTAAGAGATTAAAGAATAAAAAGATCAAGAGAAAGTTTAAAACTAAAGGGTACAAGTCTAACCAGAGACCTGAGAACCAGTGTAAGGTATAGTTATTAAATATTACAGATTTTACAAACCCAGGAATTACTAGTACCAAATCAGATAGATCTCTCCACATTGAGTTTGAGCCAAACTTAGAAAACGGCCAAATCAATCTCATTCCTCACATCGAAGAGATCCCTTCTAATGCTCCCAAAACAGACCTAAACCCTGAGAATTTCCTCCAAATCAGTGAAATTCCACTTAACCCCAATAAATCCCCCCAAAAACTCCAATCCGCAGCTATAGGCACAAGTTTCACTGTACTTCTCCCCTCACCTCTAGGCCCCTTTCCACCCTCTCTCCACCTCTGACAAAAATCTCACTTGAAATCTCCTCCAGACCCCCTCTCCAAGACCTAAAATCTCTACTAAGTCCACATCCCCAATCCCCCAATCCTTCCATGCCCGCCTAAGAGATCCTGCTTCTGTTCACACTCAAACTTGTAAAATTACAAAAATTTCATCGGAAATTCCAGATTTTAGAAATTTTGAATTTTTTGTGCATAAATTTTTGGGTGTGAAGAATAGTGGGTTTCTTAGGGGAGATTTAGAGGGGATGTATAAGGCGAGGATGGTTTCAGGAAGGAGGTATAGGGAACGGAGTGGTTTACTTGAGAAGTGGATCGATGTAGAACAAACTGAGATTTAAGAACCTCAACAATCTTCTATCGAACCAATATGCACAAGCTTCTAAAATAATTGAAAACCTGGAAAAGACCAAACAGATCGTGGTCGACAAGATCTTACGAAGAAGGATCAAAGGCATTAGCGAAGGAGCCAACAGGGCTCATGCCTCCTTCGAGCTACCCGAGGCCTGAAGTGAGCTAGCCGAGGACTTAAGCAGTGAAATGAATAGAACAACCAATTCAGAGATTTGTAATGTACTGAGAAGGAGAAGAGTAAGGGTAGGAGCCAGGATATGTGAGAGGAAGAAGAGGGATAGTGGTAAGGAGAGTGGAGACAAGCAGTGTGGCGTATCCTCTTCATCGGATGTGTCTTATGAGAGCTCGCTGCAGTGCTCTGATCATAGAGTATCTTTTGATAAACCTAAAGATGAGTTTAACTCTGACCTAGAAGATATGAGTAGTCCTCAAGTTATTATTGAGCCTTTTTACAGAACACCTAAAAGCCCAGTTCCTCAAGCATCAGAAGAGAGGATAGAAGACTCTTTTGCAGACTCAAGACGATCAAAAGTGAGTCTGGACACTCTAGAAAGTTTAGAAATTCCATCATCTCCTTCTATGCTAATTGAATCCGGGAGAAGCAATAATATTGACGATCCCCTCATGCCTGTTGTACCTCACAATACAAGCCATAAAATTCAGAATACTCAAAATGATAAAGATTTGGTTGATCCTAAATTCAAAGAGCAGAGTGATGCTATAGCAGATCAGATTCTCCACTCTATGCTTTGAGAGCTAGACAATGACTCTGGAATCAACAAAGCCCTTAACAGAGGAGAGCCATTCGAAGAATTGCCTAGCTTCCTAAACAGAGGAATTCAGACAGATGGTCTTGCTGTTATAGAATACCTCAATAAACTATTCACTAAGATCCGAAGCGACAGAGATTTCTTCCTTGAGTCTCTTTCAACTCCTCTTAATCGAGACCCATTAGAGATTTTGAGAAATTTACAAGATATTGAACTAGATTCAGATGACTCTGATTCTGAGAACACTCCTTTCCAACCTAGCATACTTCCTGTAGAGCTCTATCTCGAAATTGAAAAGCAAGGTAAAGAGAAGCAAAACAAAGAGGCTAAGAAATGCATTGAAGACCCTCTCGCAGACCTTGAAAACTCTGATGATGAAGATAGTATAATGGCAGACTGGGAAAATATTCATAACAAAGTTATATTTGATTGCGTCAATGAAGTTTTGGATAACTATCGGCCTTATGGCCTTCGAGGCCCACCTCTCTCCTGGAGCATAAATCCTAGAACCCTTACTTATAAATATAGCGAGACTGACAGGATAGATGAGGTACTTTTAGAATGCCAAGAAAAAATCATGGCATGGGCTGGCATCGAAGCAGGTACTTTAACAAACAGCGATACTTTACTGACTGCTCCACAGGAGATTAAACAAGTTTTGACTGAACAACAATTCCTTACCCAAGTGCGGGAAGAAAGATTGACAAATCTTCTTTCAGAAGAAATCAACAATGCAGAGCCTCTCTGGCTAGATTACGAATATGAAGAAACACAAGTCAAGTTAGATCTTGCAGATATGATCCTGCAGGATCTTTGATATGACACAATCAGAGAACTGAATAGAATCCACAAAGGGGATGGTGCATCAGGTGATTTTATAGATAAATTATTTAAAGAAACAGAACCCAAACATGAGCCACCGATTATCTTACAGAATGATAAATCTCCAGTGAATGTACCAGTTAAAGCAACTTCAGAAGGGATTGATGTTTCTCAAGGAACTCCTGAAGTTAGAAATACATTGAATAGGTCAGTTTAATGGATTACATAGTAATTCAAATAATCTTATTCAATAAATGTGTTCAAAAGAGGGGTTTTGGGGTTTTGGGGTTTTGGGGTTTTGGGG